GCTTGTTTGCCATTGTACGCTGTATAAAAAAAAACCTAATTACTAACAATCCCTTTCCCCCCGCATAGTAGTGGTAGCGAAATTAAACAAAATAATTCTAATAAACTAGTTATATTTTAAATTGTGTATTTCTATGTCAGTGTCTTACAGGATCTTGTTGTTTAAACAGCTCGATTTATTATTATAAATAAGATGTTATATGATGACAAAATAAATATGGCAGCTTCAACTTTCTTCCACGCACAACCATTCTTTGGAATCAACTTCCAGCAGCAATATTTCCGAACCGATACGACAATATAACCTTCAAGAAAAGAGCATATTCCTTTTTAAAAGGCCGGCAGCACACCTGCAATACCGCTGGTGTTGTGGGTGATCATGGGCGGCGGTAGTCACTTACCATCAGGTGAGCCGCATGCTCGTTTGCCCCCTGTGTTGTAAAAAAAAAGCTGTAAACTGGCAAAAAAATCTTTTCCCTTAAGTTCTTGTTACTATCACTTTATAGTTAATTAATTATATAATAATAATGGAAGAGAAAGACCGAGGAATAACTACATAGGACAGATAAAGGAAACACTAGACGTCATGTCGTATAGGGAGATCAAGGATATGGCCTGGGATAGAGCTGGCTGGAGGAAGATGCATGAATTAATTGCACCGACAAGAGGAAACTCTTAAATGAAAAGAAAAGAAGAATTACTCCTCTCCATCCAAAGGTTGCCTGGAAGAGATCGCTCTTAGCGATAAGGTCGCCCATTGTTTACTCATTGTGATTATTTCTTGTAATTATTTATACGAGGTCTGTCCGGAAAGTTCGTATAAAAGTGTTCTGGAATGCGAGAAAGAGGAGTGGGGAGGCCAGGTAAGCGCAGGACCCCTTCCTTATGTCCCTAACAATGCTTCAGTTCTGGTCTGACCGCCGTGCGGTGCGAACTGGCTTGTCACGCCATCTGTGAAGTTACCTCTTAACGAAACCCCGTCGGCATGGAGCCCGCTTCCGTTGAAGAGCAGCGCGTCGTAATCAAGTTTCTCTCGAAACTCGGCAAGAATGGCCGTGAAATTTTTGCCGATCTAATTCGATAAGACATCCGGGGAACCACGAACAAAAAAATCAAGAAAATCCCGCTCAAATGTCAAGACAATGTTGATTGTTTTTTTCGATGTTCGGGGGATTGTCCATCAAGAATTCGTCCCTCCAGGCCAGACAGTTGATGGAAAATTCTACGTCGATGTGCTCAGACGCCTCAAAGCTCGTGTGGCACGAGTTCGTCCAGAATTGGCGCGAGAGGGGCGTTGGATTCTTCACCACGACAATGCCCCTGCCCACACCTCTCTTGTTGTCCGTGAGTTTTTGAGTAAAAATTCCATTACGGTGACCGAACACCCCCTATTCGCCGGATTTGGCCCCGTGTGACTTCTTCTTGTTCCCAAAAACCAAATTGGTACTTCGGGGGCGGCATTTGGGGGACATAAATGAGATAAAAAAAGCTACGACGGGGCAGCTGAGAAACCTACAACCAGAGGACTTTCAAGGAGCCTTCTCACAGTGGAAACGGCGTTGGCACAAGTGCATTATGTCACAGGGGGAGTACTTTGAAGGGGATAAAATTGATTTACCTGAATAATTGTAAAATAAAATTTTTAAAAAACTTTTATACGTACTTTCCGGACAAACCTCGTATTTATAATAAGTTTACTATTGTAATCTTTTGGAGGAAACAATAAAGAGTATCTATCTATCTGTTAGAATCACTAATTCATTTCTAATTATATATATTATATGTATAAGAAATTCTGGTCTAATAAGATTTATATAATTTAATTAATATAATACCTACTAGAAACTGCGAAAATTCTCTCTCTTATGGTAAAAAAATTCATAGAAAGTTTACGAAACGTTGTCTTGATTTTACCAATTTCACGGTGTAGGAATCACTTGGAAATTTCGCGAATTTAATGTATATAATACGTTATGTAGAAAGTATGCCTACAGCTGTCATTCACGTGTCTATATACATATATATGTATACATACATAAATTATCTCACACCAAAAGTGTAACTCGTGAGGTTAAAATTTGCATAGTTTTTAAGTGACTTCATTCGTCTGTATTTGTCGCTTCTGTTTATAAAATGTGCTGGTTCTTGTTGTATATAGGTATATTTATTATTTATATTAATATAAATAAAATTATATATTGACTTATATATATTATGTATTTTGTTCTTTTTCAATTGTTTATAAATTTTCTTTTTTTTATAAAAAACTACAATTGTCAAAGTATATAAAAAGGTTAATTTTGAACAGCTTCGATAGTTTTGTACTAACTTGTCTTGTAAACTAACTTCTCTTCTAAACTCTTGATACGACACGACATCAACTCCTTCCTTGATCTGCTTGATGTAACTATGTCTCGGTCTCCCTCTCCCCTTCCTTCCTTCTATCTTACCTTCTATTATAATGTTCATAAGTTTGTCGTGTCGTATCATATCATGTGTCCCAACATTTTTCCCCTTCCGTCCTCAATAGTTCTAATAATTGTCTTTATTCCTTAACCCTAAGCAGGACCTCCTCATTGCTAATTCGATATATATATATATATATATATATATATATATATATGAAGAGAGCTGAGTGACTGATTATATAGTCAGTACTATATAGTCTTGGGATTATATATCATGGAATGGACCACGGCTTTCTTTTCCATGGCGTAAAGAAAGTGTCGTCGTAAAAGGCGACTAAAGGAACTTAATAGTCGAGAGTTGGACAACAACGTCCCTCCTAAAACTGCAGTTGCTAACCCGCCTGCCAAACGTGACAATTACCGGCAAAACCTCCGAATAGGATGAGACCTATATTCAGCATTGGCCAGTTAATAGCTGATCTGATGATGCTGAGCGACTGTATCCTGATACACACAGGATACACTTTTACCAATCGACACAGAAAAAACTGCGGAACAAAGTTAATTAAAATGTTAATTTGTTAAATTTAAAAAAAAATGTGATATTCGATACCGTTCAATATTTTAATATTGGAACATTATCCGAATGTAAATGCGACAGTGGCGCGACCTTGCGAGCTATGTTGTGACTAATACTTAATACAGTTTCACAATACATATTTATAACCGGACAATTCAAGGATAAATGGACATATACATATCTTGTTGGATCGGACACTTAGATATGCAGTCGTTACAGCTAATATTTTTACAAGAACATTTTCATAGATTTTTTTATAGATTATTTATTATATTGCGCTATGTATTGAGATGACGAGGTTGGTAGAGACGTATATTAGGACTGATTTACCTAATTACTAAACTAAACTTGCCAAGTAGATACTTATATAAATTTACTTTTTTTTTTATACAACCTAGAATGGCAAACAAGCTGACGGCCCACCTGATGGGAAGTGGTAACCGTCGCCTATAGACATGAGCAGTGCCGTGGACATAACAGAGTATACTGTTTCGCCCATGATACCCCCTGTGCGTTGCCATTCCTGAGGACTTAGGTGTTATTCCTCTGTTAGTTAGCTGAAGGAGTATATTGCTAGCAATGGCACTGGTAATCCGCATTATTAACAATCCCCGCCCCCCATAAATTTACTTTTTTATTACAAAATGTTTTTGTTTTATTTATTAAATATTAAGTAATCTATGGTAGGTACTAGTATTTGGGGACAGATTACAAAGCTCCGCTCATTATGTGAAACTTAAAAAATATCTAATAGCATAAATATAATAATATTAACATATTCATGGCTGACAGACCAAAGGTTAACTATAAAAATACCAAAACATACGTAGTTAAAGTAATTAACGCAAAGTTCAAGAGCGCTGTCGTACTTAGTATTAAGACTTTAATTGCCCACTAATGATTTAATGCAGTTACTTTTTTTTAATTAGGTGATATTTTTTATGGGTGATAATGGAATGCTAACCCCGCCTGTGCTATCGGTATACACTGGCAGGGTACCAGTGAAGGGTGACAAGTAAAGATGATGACAGGTCAGTCGGCCCATAGTGACCAATTGAACAAGAATTAACTACTATCGTTTCTAAGGGGAACCGCGTGGAGGTCGACCTGGTAGGGTGTATTGCTAGCAATGAGGTTGTTAAATCTCATCACTAACTATCCCTTCCTCCCCCCTAGGTGACATGTTAGAAAACGGTAATGGTTTTGTTGAAATTGTAAATCGAAATAGTCATATTATTGTTAGGCTTTGTACAAAAGTCGATTGCTTGGGTATCTCTGTTCCATTCGTGTTTCAACCGTGAAGCAGTTGTGTTTGCATGGTTGTGTTTCGGTTTGAAGGGTGGTATATGACGTAAATTTACCGGGTACAGAGAAATAACACCTGAGTCCTCAGGAATGGCTACGCATGGGGGTATCATGGGCGAGACAGTATATCTCTATTATGTCCATGGTATTGCTCATGTCTATAGGCGACGGTTACCCCTTTCCATCAGGTGGGCCATCAGCTTGTTTGCCATTCTAAGTTGTTTAAAAAAAAAAGAAAAAAAAATACAACTTAATCGAGAAACCCCTTTTTTTTTAAGTCAAATGACAATTATAAATAGATGCCATTGTCATCTTTAGCATATCAGTATTTAACCGTCCACTGCTGAACATATACCTCCCCCTTAGGGGGTTTTGCCAGTAGTTGCCAGTAGTTGGCAGACAGAGATGTTTTAAAAGGGACACTGCTGTCCTTCCCTCGCTTTCCCTTAGCCGTCTCTTACGACACCCACGGGAAAGGAATTGATGGTCCATTCTATGCCGGGACCACGCGGCTACATACATACATACATATCTGTCACGCCTGTCTTCCATTAGGGTAGGCAGAAACAATGGAACGCCAAATGCTTCGATTCAAACAAACCTCTTTCGCTTCTTCCACATTCATCAATCTTGTCATAACCACGCGGCTAATATTGTATAAAATGTCTATCAATAGACAGGGCTAAATATCATTATAATTATTTACAGGTATTATGCTTGGCGCTAGCAGCAGGACTGGTGAGTGGGGCCCGGCCGCGCGCCAGGATACAGCAGCCTGTGGAGGATGCCTACGAAGAGTACGAACCCCAAACACAGGGCAGGGCTTCTAGCGACCAGGTAGCACTCTATAATATAAACACACACACACACACACACACACACACACACACACACACACACACACACACACATATATACACAGATACTCGTAAATATATACTACACAAGCACATAATTATTAATACATACACACATAAATACGGATAAGCAAGCTGAAGTGGGAAAAAAGGTTCTGGAGTGTAGGACGACCCCCCATTAGATGGAGTGACGATCTCAAATGCATTGCAGGGAGTCAGTGGATGCAGGTGGCTCAGGACCGTTCTTTATGGCAGTCTATGGGGAGGCTTATGTCCAGCAGTGGACGGGTAATGACTGAAATGATGATGACGATGATGAATACGTGATACGTGATGATAACATATATAAATTATAAATTTTCATAGTAATTTTTTTCTTGAGGGATAATAATGCAAATGGTAAACCCGCTTGCGCTATCGGTATACGCTGACGGGGCACCAGTGAGGGATGATAGGTGAGAATTAAAGCAGGTGAATCTAATACTAAGGGAGAATTTCTACAAAAGTCGATTGCCTGGGTACCTCTACCACATTCGTGTTTCAACCGTGAAGCAGTTGTGTTTGCATGGCTATGTTTCGGTTTGAATAGTGGGATATGGTGTGAATTTACATGGTACAGAGGAATAACATCTGAGTCATCAGGAATGGCAACGCATGGGTGGTATCAAGGGCGAAACAATGTACTCTGTTATGTCCATGGTACTGCTCATGTTTATAGATGCCGGTTACCACTTTCCATCAGGTGGGCCGTCAGCTTGTTTGCCATTCTAAGTTGTATAAAAAAAATTCAAGCATCAAATACGATGCTTTCCAGTAGAGATCGTTGTTAGGGTATACAACTGGGCTAGTCCCCGTTAGCAATAACCCTTCTCCATCAGCTAATTTCTAAATGTATTTTCCAGGTGGTATTAGTTCCGGCCGACGCGTATGATTCACTGTACCGCGCCAACGACCGCCTGGACGAGGAGTATGAGCCTCGCGCGGTACAACGCGCACCCTCCAGGCTGAAGCAGCAACCCGCCCACGAGAGCAACAAGCAGCCGCCCGTGCAGACCATCAGGAATTATAATAAGGTACGTTGAAACTGAGGCAAAAGAGGAAGAGGAAGACCGAAGAATGAGACATTGGACAGATAAAAGGAACTCTAGGTGTCATGTCGTATAGGGAGGTCAAGGATATGGCCTGGGATAGAGCTGGCTGGAAGAAGATGAATGAATTAGTTGCACCGACAAGAGGAAACTCTTAAATTAAAAAAAGAAGACGTTGAAACTAATGAACATTCCGTATTGTTCACCACAGGGAAAGATTCAGTTACATAAATTGTGTAAAAAGAGCTGTACGTATTACGAGAAGCAAGATAAACATGGTGTCGGTATCGGCAGAGAATGGACTACCCCTTCCTTTCCTGTGGGTGTCGTAAGAAGTGACTAAAGGAGCTTATGGTGGAGGAATGGGCAGCAACGTCCCTCTTGAAACATTTGTAGAAGCCTAACTGCGGTTGCCAATTCGTTTGCCAAGCCAACTACTGGCAAAACTTCCCTTATGGGGAAGGCTTATCTGTGGCTTAACGGTATAACAGTGGACAGTTAAGGGCTGAAATAATAATAATAAAGGTATTAAAAGTAAGGGTTAGCTGTTACAGAGTTTTATTTTGCAATAAAGAATGAATAAATGAAGCAACAATGGACAGTCTTCTTGCTAAACAGAAATTTCTTCCTGACAATCTTAGAATGGGAAGATCAATAAAATGTCTCTATTTCTAGTTGAGGTATGATATATGAAAAGCTGCGTTTGAATACATCAAAGCAACAGAAGGAAACTTAATAGAATTAGAGTAATATTCTTCTTTTATAGAGAGAGACCTATGTGCAGTAGTGGGTCATAAATGGTTTTGTAACCACGGTGCGTTAAGTACCGATCGTAAATTTGAAACTTTAGTGTTTTTATTTAATGTATAAAAAACGCAAAAGATCTAAATTAATCATTAATGGGTTTTTGTGGTGGTAGACAGTGGTGTTTTGGTAGAAATTGAGATGTAAGTTGGAGAAGAAATAGATTCCTCGTATAGTAAAAATATTAGTGTTAGTCTCCAAAGAATATTCCTAGTAGTATTAGAAAAATAATAACATTGTAATGGATGTAACACTGAACACAATTTATTTAAATCAATTGAAATTATGATCTAAAGCGCCTTCTTCTTTCTGGTATAAAAATGACTTCCAGGATTTCCAGGAGAATTCATCAATTTTACTCCATTTAATATCTTATTTTAATTTACAGGTAAACGACGATGGCAGTTTTACCTTCGGATACGAAGCGGCTGATGGATCCTTCAAGGAAGAAACTAGAGGAACCGACTGTGTCGTTCGTGGAAAATACGGTTATATTGACCCCGATGGTAATAAACGAGAGTTCACATACGTATCCGGAAACCCCTGTGATCCTAACAAACCAAATGAAGATGAAGAGCAGGAGCCTGCAGCTCCTGACTCCGCAGAGAGAGACGATGGCGAACCTAACTACCCAACCAGACCGGCCATTCGGCCAACGACAGCCCGACCGACCACGACCTACTTCCAAAACGACTTCAGAGATGCCGACGAAGATGAAGCCGAAGAAGAGCCTCTACAGCATATCAGGCAAAGAGTTGTACAGCGCCCGCAAAGCAGGAGACCTACTTACCAGGCACAACCTATTGCAATCACCCCGCGGCCTCTGCCAGCGACCACCGCTAGAGCTCTCCCTCCAGCGACGACCTTCAGGCCACAGCTTGTTCAAGTGACTCCCAAACCCCAGATTCAGTACAGTCCCGCACCAAGTTTCTCGCCCTCGCCTGCACCTGCTTTCACGACAGCCCGACCTGGACAAATTGACTTTGCAGCTGAATTCGCTAAGTTCCACCGTGAAAACCAAATACAATCTACGACTACAACAAGCGCAGCCGATCCTACGAAGGCCACTCTATCTACTGTAGCGGCTCCAGCTCCAAGTAGCAACCCTCTGTACTCAACCGAACTTGTATATGATCCAGCAAGCGGCCAATACAACACTCAGCTCTTCCAGACTCTGCCTCAGACTAAAGGAGAATTGAACTTAAACCAGAGATTGCAACCTTTCGTCGCTCAGCAGCAACAGCCATCTCCACGGCCTTTCATTCCGTCTCCTCAAATCTCCGTGCCGCAGCCTGCCCAATCTCCAAATTTACCTCTGTTCAGACACCAAATTCAGCATGCGAATCCGCAAGAAGTATATCAAAGACAACAAGCCGAAACTCAGTTCCAGAACTCGCAGCAGTTGTTCGCTCAACAGCAACAATTGCAGCAGAGTCAATTGCAGCGAGATCGGGCTGCGGCGAGAGCGCAGGCTCAAAGGCTAGCGTTGGCCCAGCAGGCGCAGGCACCGCAGAGACCGGCTCAGTCACCCCAGCCCCAGTTTTACTACGTGGCACCGCGCGGAGAGTCCGCGGCTACGGGCCAGATCGACGCCTTCTTGAGAGGGCACGGCATTCAGTTCTAGTTAGTGTAGCGGAATAATTTGAACTAGATAATTGTCTATCGACCGATCATTCAAACTCCAGTCCGGAATGGCCATATTGTACAAGTCTAAGCGAGATTGGTCGAATTTGAGTGCGTCAGTGTCAGTGTGTTCATATATGGTGTTTCAAAATTTACTGAGAATAATTATTAAGAAAATAGTGCTTAATTAAATTAAATGCATACAATGTTTGTTATGTAAAAAAAAATTTGTAAAAGCCGCTTATCTTGCAAGGTAAAGTGCTTATACTGAATCAAAGAATTTTAAAGACGATTGATTTTTATTCAGTCTTTTTTTTTCCACATTTTGTCAAATACCAATTTTTAAATTCGAAATCAATTTAAAATCATCTTTATTGAAATAATTTTGATTACACTTTTAAATTTTTAATATCACTTATTACATTTTGCCCTTGTATTTTTCTTAGTATCTTCATTGGTTATTTTTTAAGAATTCGAAAAGTTCTTGGAAGTGTTTTATTTTTCCACATCCAGTTTTAAGAAAGAAATATTTTGAAATCCCCCTCGAAGCCTAATCAATAGCCTAATTGGAGTATTTATTTATAAATTTTACAACACGTTTTTCAGTAAAATATTTAATAAATATATATTTTTTCTACTACTCGGTAAGCGCATGCATCTTTGCTGTGCAGAAAATATCATTCTACTGATTTTAAATAAACCAAGTTTTCACTAATGAATTTTGAAACACCGTAAATAATATCTAGTTCGTGGGACAGTGGGGCCCATATGTGGTCCCGATGTGTACATATTTTATGCTGTGTCTAATCAGTACTTAGTGTAACGTTAATAAACATAGTCGTAAGTATAAAATGTATTGATAAATAAAATGTCTGTGCGTGACAGTCCACGATGCGCGCCTGTGATGCGTAATGTAAAACAAATAGGAATTTGTAATATGTTTGTTTTAATAATAAATTATATTTTTTTTATATTAAGTTGTATGTTTTTATTTTTATGCATCTAAGAATAGCCCACCTGATGGAAAGTGGTAACCGTCGCCTATAGACATGATCAGTACTATGGACATAACAGAGTATACTGTTTCGCCCTTGATACGCCTCATGCATTGCCATTCCTGAGGACTAAGATGTTAATCTTCTGTACCCGATAATTACATTGTCCCATCCCATCCTTCAAACCGAAATACAGCCATGCAATCACAACTGCTGCTCGACAGAAACATGAATGGGATAGAGGTACTTAAGCAGGCGACTCTTACACAGTCTCGCTTTGGCAAATTTTCTCACAATTATACGTTTTGTAGAAGTGTAAAAACATGAATTAGCGAAATACATCTGACTTGAGACAAAGATATTTCAAGTTTGATACGAATATGAGATCAACCCTTACTTTTGTCGTAAGAAGCGATTAAAGGAACTTAATGATCGAGGGATGAGCAGCAGTGACTCCTAAAACTGGACCAAAGCCAAATTGTGGTTATCAACCTGTCTGCCAAACGTGGCAACTACCGGAAAAATCCTTCTGTTGAGAGCTACAATTTGGCTGTATTTTCAACTTGCTTGAACCTTTCGACTCGTTGCAATGACGAGCTATGAGAATTGTCGATGATCCCAGGCTTACAAGCGGTATCGAACCCTTAAGTCTTAGGAGAGATTTTGCTTCACTCTGCGTGTTCTACCGCCTGTACAGTGGATTGTGCTCAGAGGAATTGTTCAATATGATGCCCACAGCCACTTTCTACCATCGTACGGCTCGCCATCGACAGGGAGTTCATCCTCATGTCCTACAGCCTCAATGGTCGCGTACTGCGCGGTTTCAGAAATGTTTTCTCCCACGAACACTCAGGTAGTAGAATGAGCTCCCTGCCGAGGTTTTCCCAAGAGACTACAGCATGGGGTTCTTCAAAAGGGGGGTGAAGAGGTTTCTTCAGGGTCGGCAACGGACGCATAATACCTCTGGTATTGCAGGTGTTCATAGGCTACGGTAACCACTTACCATCACGTGGGCCGTATGCTTGTTTGCCACCTCAGTAGTATAAAAAAAAGAAAATGCCATAGTCCTCTGTGATGATAACGCATGAGAAGTACGTAAATATTCCCTAATATCGTCAGCTGCAGCTATTTTTGTCCAGAGAAGTTCAATACCATAAGAATAAATAGATTTGGGCAATAATATAATTAAATATCTATATAACAGATCTATGGTGTGGTCCCGGCATAGAATGCGCCATCTCTTTCTTTTCCGTGGGTGTTGAAGAGGCGACTAGAGGAATTTAGCGGTCGAGAGATGGGCAGTAGCGTCTTAAAACATCACCAAAAGCCTAACTGCGTTTGCCAATCCGCCTGTCAAGCGTAGCAACTACTGGCAAAACTCCCTTATGGACAGTGTTCACTTGCCAGAGGGAGACTTTGTACAAAAGTCGATTGCTTGGGTACCTCTGTCCCATTCGTGTTTCAACCGTGAAGTAGCTGTGTTTGCATGGCTGTGTTTCGGTTTGAAGGGTGGGATATGACGTGAATTTACTGGGTACAGAGGAATAACATCTGAGTCCTCAGGAATGGCAACGCATGGAGGGTATCATGGACGAAACAGTATACTCTGTTATGCCCATGGTACTGCTCATGCCTATAGGCGACAGTTACCACTTTCCATCAGGTGGGCCGTCAGCTTGTTTGCCATTCTAAGTTGTATTAAAAAAAATAATGCAATAGACAGCGTACCATAAATCCGCTAAACAATTATAGCTGTGAATTAGTTACCTGTCGAGAATGTGTAAATGCGCTATGAAATTACATTTAGTTTGTAATAAACATGTAAATGTAAACAATTTAATGGCAAATAGTACCGCGGTTAATTACTTGTGCAAAATTTTGCGCAATGAAATTAAATTGCGTAAGTAACATACATATTTTGCTTTTGCGTTATTGTTATAGACGATGTCCAGATTGTATTGTCGATTGCTTATTTGTGCTTGCATTAACTCCTTGATTATCATTATTATATCTGCCATTAACTGTCCACTGTTGGACATGAGCCTTTCCCATAAGGGGAGTTTCGTCAGTAGTTGCCACGCTTGGCAAACAGGTTGGCAACTGCAGTTAAGTTTTTAGAGATGTTTTGAGAGGGACACTGCTGTCAATCCTTCTGCCATTAAGCTCCCTTAGTCGCCTCTTACGACATACATAGGAAAAGAAGGGGTGGCCTATTCTATGTCGGAATCACACGACCATGTATATATATATATATTTGACAGATAATACAACTTTTAATAGGCGATTTTTTTAAATCGATCGAGTACTTTTTTTTTTATACAACTTAGAATGGCAAAAAAGCTGACGGCCTGATGGAAAGTGGTAACCGTCGCCTATAGATATAAGCAGTACCATGGACATAACAGAGTATATTGTTTCACACTTGATACCACCCCTCCCCCAGATGCATTGCCATTCCCGAGGACTCAGGTGTTATTCCTCTGTACCCAGTAAATTCACGCCATATCCCACTTCAAACCGAAACACAGCCATGCAAACACAACTGTTTCACGATTGAAACACGAATGAGACAGAGGTACCCAAGCAAACGACTTTTGTACAAAGTCTCCCTCTGGTGAACTTTCAAGTTTATCATTTACAAATCTACAAAAAAATGCTATTACCTCTTTATAATACTAAAATAAATACAGATACGTAGTTTTATTTTACGATATACCATACGTATTACTTTACTAAAAGATATTCACATAATTTCACGATCTTTGTAAAATATCGTTGATTATCGTTGTTGGGTTGCATTATTCTATTATATTACATTATTATATAGTTTTTTTTGATGGGTGAAAATGGTATGGTAATCCCGCCTGCGCTAACGGGATACACTGGCGGTGCACCAGTGAAGGGTGATAGATGAGAATGAAAACAGGCCAGTTAGCCTATCATGATAAATTCATTAGGAATTAACCATGATAGCTTCCAGGGGGAACCGCGAGGAGGTCGACCTGGTTGGGTATATTGCTAGCAATGGGATTCTCAGCCTCCATTACTAACAATCCCTTTCCCCCCTTATTATATAGTATTATTTTATATTATACCGACTGCGTGGCAGCACTAACAACATTCTGTAACAAATACGACAGCCCGATCCTCTCATTGTACGTCAAAATTATTATAGGGGCCATAAAATTATTTGTTTTGCATTTTATTTTATACTAACATAGTTTAAGTCAATTGTTACTAACAAAAATGGATCTTAGTTATTTGTAATAAATAAATTATTATTATTATTATCGGTATCAAGTAATCAATCTCAGTAACACTGGCCCGCCACACCCAACAACCGTAAAAGCGTATCTGATATATCTCAATTTGACCATTATAGTTAAATGTGAAGGCCATTTCAAAATTGCTAGCAGGTATGTAATGAATCATATAAAGTGAAATATTACAGTTATTACAGTTTATCATCATATCAGACGTTAGTTGCTCACTGATGGACATAGGCTTCCCCCATAACAGGGGCTTTTTTTTAATTACAATGGAATGGTAAATCCGCCTGCGCTAACGGTATACGCTGGCGGAGCACCAGTGAGGGATGATAGGTGAGAATGAAAAGGCAGCTCAGTTAGCCCATCGTAATGAACACATCTGGAATTCTGGATGATTTCCAGTGGGGACCACATGGAGGTCGACCTGACAAAGTAAATTGCTAGTAATGGGCCTGGTAGTTCGCATTATTCACAATCGCTTCCTTCCCCTCCCCATAAGAGGGGGTTTTTTAATGTGTGATAATGGAATGGTAACCCCACCCGCGCTATCGGTATACATCGACGGGGCACCAGTGAAGGATGATAAGTGAGGATGAAACAGGTCAGTTAGCCCATCAACGAATTCAACAAGAATTGTGCAAAATGGTTTCCAGGGGGAACCACGTGGAAGTCGACCTAATAGGGCATATTGCTAGCAATGGGGCTATCAAACTCCATTGCTAACAATCCCTTTTCCCCCGCCACCAGTGAGGGATGATAGGTAAGAATGAAAAAGCAGGTCAGTTGGCCCATCGTGATGAATGCACCTGAAATTCAACACGATGGTTTCTAGGGGGAACCACGTGGAGGTTGACCTGACAAGGTATATTGCTAGCAATAGGACTGGCAGTCCGCATTATTAAGAATCGCTTAATAATAGGGATTTTTTAGTAGTTGCCCACGCTTGGCAGGTCTATTTAGTTCTCTTAGTCGCCTCTTACGACACCCACGGGAAAGGAAGGGGTGGCCTATTCTATGCTGGGATTACACGGCGTTTAGATTAAGTTTATAACAATAAATAAATAAATATCAATGGATATACACAGCGCCATCTAACTAAAACCAAAACTAAGCAGAATTTATACTATTGGTACTGAACAATAGACAGACATACAAAACTTTTTTTTAAATACATATTAGACAGCATCATCGTCATACCAGCCTTTAACTGTCCACTGCTGAACATAAGCCTCCCCTTGGAGGTTTTGCCAGTAGTTGCCACCTTTGGCAGGTGGATTGGCAACCGCAGCCAGGCTTTGGAAACGTTTTAAGAGGGACGCTGCTGCCCATCCCACTCTTTCCCTTAGTCGCCTCTTACAACATCCACGGGAAAGGTAGGAGTGTCCCATTTTATGCCGGAACACATACGGCAAATTTTAGACACACTCTTGTATATTGTTCTTTTTTTATACAGTTTGGAATATTAAATAAATCCAATTTACGAAGAGTGGTCGCCGTCAACTATAAAAAACCTATACCTACATAATTTATTGATCACATTTTACAAAAATATAATAATACGGCTGTCTGTTTGTTTGAAAAAAAATCGGTTTCCTTAGCACAGTAGTGCCATCTATCATTTTATCTTATAACTATAGATATCTACTGTGAGAATCCACTTCTTCAATCAATGCAATAAAAAAGTGAAAGTAACATGTAGGTTTCAGCCTCTAA